CGTTCTCATTGTATAAAATCCATAGGGTCTCGTTGGTCATTGCGAAGGTGTTTTTTCATAAACCAGTGACCTTTCACTCTTTTTTGTTTAGCTGTACCTATACAGGTTTAGGCGTGGGTTCATTAACCGTGTTTCTGGCACCTTTTAAGTTCGAACATAATTTTTTCTTTGTGTTGACCAATTCTGAGATGAAGGATCATATGTTTGATTTATTATTCAGAAATCGTAAGATGCGGTCTGGTGTGATGTAGGTTTCAGAAAAACATTTTCTTTATCGTGCCAACGTTTCGATCTTTATTGAGATCATCTTCAGGGCTNGCACGATAAAGAAAATGTTTTTCTGAAACCTACATCACACCAGACCGCATCTCACGATTTCTGAATAATTATCGATTAACGGTCACTAATCACCACACATGTTTGATTTATTATTCTTGTTTGGTCAGTTTGTTTGCGTGTTCATTACCCAAAATTTCTTTGTGCCATTGCAGTAAAGATATTGTCAAGGTATTGTTTTGGATGTGACATTTTGTCATGCTAATTCTTTTAGGGCCGCTCGGCTTTCTGATCTTATGACGGTTCGTTAACCATGTGTTGTCTGTATTTTGTAACTCTGAAGTTCGTGTCTTTTTTTACTTCTTTTGTGTTAAAATTATGAGATAGTGGATCCTATGTTTGATCGTTTTATCCAGATGGGTTTTGGGCAGATACTTCTCTGACCAGTTTGTATGCTTTTTCATTACCCAAAATTCCTTTGAGTCCTGAAAACCCAGTTGGTTGTTATGTTCCTTAGGTTTGAGGATGTGACATTCTGACGTGCTAATGCCTTTACGAAATGGTATGCAAATATGTAAGAATGTATTTAAGAGTGAGTGAGAGTGTGAATGCATTTAAGAACTGTTTGCGTTGAGTGCTGAATTGACCTTCGACATTACCCGGTGCCCAACCTCGGCGGCTGGACGAACAAGACCGTGTATGACCCGGACTGCCAACACCTCGAATAGGTGATTCTCGATGCCTGATGGTTAATTTATTGTAAAGTAAAAACTGGAATTCGTGGACTGAGAAGGCTCAACTCGCGTTAAGTTAGACACACAAGGCAAAAATCGGCATATCCTGATCTAAGTTCCAAGAACTTAACTCGGCAAAGGCGGAGTAGACGACTTGGATAACACGGCGTGATCTTCACTGACGACTATAGCCGTGAGGACGCAAAGTTGCCCATCTCGATTATCGTCCCCAGTTTCATCCCTGCCTAAGGTTTCGTCATAGCTTATTCCCAGGGGTCACGTCCGGAAGTCTCTCTGTTCTGCCGTACTGGCATCTAAGGATCACACCGAAAAAAGCGGATGTCTCGGTTTGGCAAGAAACCCCCGTATAGCTGAAGTTAACCTACTACCTCTGAAGTTCAGCCGGCACTACTCCCAGCTCACAGCACAGAATGGCCAAAGGACTTGTTGTCTAAAAGTAAAGCCTATCGAGCTTCTGTAAGCGCGTTTTTCGGACCATAAGCCATGCAACCATAAAACAAGGTCAAGCACAGAAGCAAGTCATGCATTACTATAAAACTATATATTTAAATTATTCACTATTATTCCAATGGGAATAATAATACATATTAGTATGCCTGAACCTAAAATATATATGAATAAGCTTCAATCGATCAATTTAAATACAATTTGTTATTATTTTTACCGGTTTTATTATTACGTTTCTGAATCCCAAGAAGTTATTTTTAAAAGATACACTGACCTCGCGATTTTTAAAACTCGAAACTGAATTCGGTCTATTGAACTCAACCCCAGCTTCTCTGGGACACTAATGAGCCTGATAAATGTGACTAGGCTATCAGATAGGCGTAATCTAATATGTAAACAGCACAAGAATATCTTGCATTAGAGAAACAAAGATGGGATTACTCTGTGATTTGGTCATTTTTTACATTCATTTTGGTCTTTCCTCTGACAGAAACAAAAAAGGCAGGTTAAAATGATCAGAAACGATCAAACTACAGGTTCATCATCCAGCAGACCCCAAGAGAAAATCTCCCTCTTAACTATATTCAATAAATAAGATCGTAGAGGTAATTATCATTCGGAAACTACAAAAAACATAAAATACCAGTATATCTGGTGACATTTTTTACATACATTTTGGCCTTTCTTCTAACAGAAATAAGAAAGGCAGGGCAAATCGACCCAAACCGATATTATTGAGTGTTCTTGGTGATTTTCTGGATATGCCTTTTCCAGTTTGTCTGATGTATTTATCGTTGTCGATTATTACATATTTAAATCAACGGATGATCTGTATGATGAAGGAGTAATCTGGATCATAGAGTCCCTGAAAAAAATTGAAAATTAAGTCCATTCTTGATGATGTGATGACATCCATTTTATGGCTTTATGTCGAGATCAGTTACGTGATGACTTCTTATATCTGACTTGCTTGGGACCTTGGATAGGTTTCTAAACATCCTTTTTCTTTGACTTCATTTAGGATGTGTTGGAACTAACCAGACCCAGGTGATTTTTCCTTGTTTTCTTTAAGAGCTCGATTTCCGGGGGAACCACCTCCCCTCATCACCATTGAGTTCCTCGTTTCTGATCCGGAAACACAGCCCCCGAAATGGATCTCTTAAATAAGACAAGTAAAAACCCATGTATCTGAGTAAAAGAAAAAACCGCCCGAAAAGAAGAAACAAAATTAGATTAAGTAAATAATATATATATGGTTATATGTCAGTAGATAAAATCCTTTTTCTTTAATTATTTTGTATCTATATTTATTAGTCCTTTAATTGACTTTCCCGCATTTTACATCGTGTATCCAGTGGTGTTTTCAAGCTGTTAACCTCGCCAATCTTTTTACAGAATGTTTGATTTGTGCATTTTAGAGGATTCCTTTCGGCACTTCAGCCTTTATTTAAGTCTTACAAATCTTCTAGCTTTGATTTATTGCTTGTTCGGTATTTTAATGAGCTTTTCAGACTTACATCGAAAGTTCAGTGGTATTTTCCACTGTTGACACATTATGTTTGGATGTTTGTACATCTGATTGCTGTTTCAAGGAGATAAGCCTGCTGATTAGATCCAGTTTTATGCAGTTTTGTCGTTTACCATCATTTTGGTCTGCCTATTATTGATTTGGTTTTGGACAGCTATAGGTCGTCACCCAGTAGACCTCAAGAGGAAATCTTTCATAGATCTTGAGTTCTTGTTTTGGTGCATTTGTCTTGCATATCACCTTTCGTTTGATCATAGCAAAGTCTGTCAGTCATAGGCAGTCAAAAATGATAGGAGACGACCAAATTACAACTACATTACCCAGCAGACCTCAAGAGGAAATTCCACCATTTAACCATATTTCTTTTAACCATTTGAATAGGCTTTAACCTAAAAAAAGGACGCCTACAATCAAACTAATAAAACACTTAAAATCCCACAAAAAATAAAATCAATTTACAAGACTAAACAGACTTGAAGACATGGTATAGATGTATTTTTCCATAAATAATATTTGTTATATAGAGTTAATTTATTAGCATGACTGTGTGAGGATGGCTGGTAGTAGAATCTTTAAGAGCTCATCTCAATCAGATTAGCTGTGGATGGAGGAACATTCAACAGTCAGGCGGCACTTAAGGCCTTAGCCTCATGCGAGGTAAAGGCAAAAAGCATATGGAATTGTATGGAAGTCCTGGCAGAAGTCATTGATGCCAAGACCTGACCCTGGAATGGGTCCCTAGGCATTCAGGACATAGAGGCATTGAGGAAGTGGACATGTTGGAGCCAATATGATTGGCCTAGCCTCTTGCCAATAAAAGGACACATCCGAAAATGGATCCTTAACGAGTCCAAAACCTGGTTGACCCACATCCCAGGTATGAGGCACGCGAAGAGATCATAGAAGGGTCATCCGCAAGACTTACAAAGGAAGGTAACCAGAACGGAACCATTCTAGTTGGACTCCTGACAAGACACTGCCGCCTAAGAAGGCACATGCACCGGATACACGTAGCAACATATCTATGTTTTTGAGAGAATATATGTAGGGCAGATTCTTGCCACTAGGATAGAAAAAGACGCAAGCAAGATCCTACACTAAGGAGCAGCTGGCAAGGCTATGGAGATTAATTAGCAACCTGACGCTGAGTAGTGAGTATAAAAAACAGAGGAGCACAATAGACCTATTCAGGTCGAGGTGCAGAAGGGCTTATGACTACCTCTTTTATATCTATGCCCTAACTGCTTAAAATCCATAAAAGAGAGATCTAAGCCAGGCACCCCCCTTCCAAAGCTCGCTAATTTCATAAAAATCTGACAAAGTCTAGTTCAATTGTCTCCATTCATGCAACTGACAAGTGTCGCAATCAAAATCCAACTTCTAACTCATCATGGGCACTGTGACTAACTCCAAACTCTAAAACAGTAACTGACTCGTGACCAACTGACCAGTTACTCAATTACTGCTGACTGCCCAGTGACTACCCTTTTGGTAGTACCAACCGAGGAAAAACCGTAACCAAGATCTTACACTAAGAAGCCACTATGGAGGTTGATTAACAACCTGAAATTGGTCATTGAGCTATTAAAAAAAATTTTAAACAGAGGAGCACAATAGATCTACTCAAGTCGAGGTGCAGAAGGTATTGTGGCCACATCTTTTATCCCTTCCTTATCTACTATGTCTAGAAAGTACGGAGTCAGATCGAAATGTAGTTCATTAAAATATACATAAATTAAAGGACAGGAAAGGTATTTAAATTTTAAAGAGGCGGTACTCACCCAGTCAAAATATTAATCGAAACGCTAATGATAAAATCAAGTTTAAATTGAATTTCAATTCATTCAAACTGTTTTTAAATGTTTAATTAAATTTCTCGAATAAATGGTAAATAATTTTATCTTTGATTTTGGGGAAATTTCATTGGATTTGTTTGCTGTTGACAGCAGCACTTAGCAGGCGCAAGAGCACGTGACAACCGAGGGGTATCGATCTTCGCTTATAACACTCTTACTCCCTTCTACATCGGCCTTGAAACAAAGCAAGTCGTTAAGTTCGAGATTAAGTCCTTTCTTTTGGCTAATTTCATAAATTAGTTAGTAAACTTACAGATTAAATTAATAAAGCCATGGACACCAACCCACCTACATACGCCGACTCGGATTCGCCCCTGAGATCCTTCGGTAACGTTTTAACATAAAATTAACCTATGGATAGCTTTTGCATGAGATACACAAAACTTAATACATTACACAATTATTTATTTACATGATCTAAGAATGTGATTTTTCGACTAATCAATCAATTGAACTGATTTTTCAATTAACCAGCATGAGTAACCTGCCAATACACTCAAGGAACACAACTAACGATTTTCTTCCTTCTTTTAACTGTTTCGACCTTTAAACAAACAATTTACAAAGGAATCTAGATTTTTCATACATTTGTAAAAATATACTGAGGTCTGAAAGATGATGAAACTAACTTGATAGCCTCCGATCATCAGTATCACTAGTTTAGTCAATTGGGATGCATTTCAGCTATTGACTCCAACCATGTAGATTTTAACCTAAGCACACTCACATTCTCTTAAATACATCCCTATTTATCCAGTTATAGTTACTTTATAATTGATACATTAAAATGTTAATATTTGATTAAGACATAACAGTGTATTGATATGTAAGAATCACCTTCAAATGTCTGGGGTTACGTTTCAATCTTGCTCAAACAATTTGTGCTCTTGAGCTGTTGACTAGTTCATTTCAGCACCAGCACAAGTATATTTACCTCACACTTTCACTATTCTTATTTATTCAATATTCCTCCTGTCACATTGAAAAAAAAAAATGAACGGTGGAATATTGAGTACTGAGTTAATAAGAATAGTGGAAGAGTAAAGTTAGAAGTATATGTGCTAGTGTTGAAATGAACTAGTCAATAGTTTAGGAACACAAATTGCTTCAGCAAGATGGACTCGATTGAAGTGTGACCCTAGGCTAGCAAATAAAAAATCAGGCGAAGGTGATTTTTATTGTTTCTATTATACAAATATTAGTAATATTTCAATGGTTTCTTACTTAGACAGACCTTTATAACTTATTAAGACAAAACGTCTAGTTGTAAGAATCACCTATAATTAATTGTAACACATGTAGTTTTAACCTAAGCACATTCACCTTTTCTTAAATACATCCCTATTTATCCAATTATAGTTAGTTTATAATTTATACATTAAAATGTTAACATTTGATTAAGACATAACAATGTATTGATATGTAAGAATCATCTTCGAATGTCTGGGGTTACGTTCAATCTTGTCCACCTTGCTCAAACAATTTGTCCTCCTGAGCCATTGACTAGTTCATTTCAGCACCAGCACAAGTATATTTACCCTCACACTTTCACTATTCTTATTTACTCAATATTCCTCCTGTTACATTGAAAAAAAAAATGACTGGTGGAATATTGAGTACTCCTGAGTAAATAAGAATAGTGGAAGTGTAGAGTTAGAAGTACATGCGCTAGTGTTGAAATGAACTAGTCACTAGCTCAGGAACACCAATTGCTTCAGCAAGTTGGACTCAATTGAAGTGTGACCCTAGGCTGGCAAAAAAAAAAAAAAATCAGGCGAAGGTGATTTTTTATTGTTTCTATTACACAAATATTAATAATATTTCAATGGTTTCTTACTTAGACAGACCTTTATAACTTATTAAGACAAAATGTCTAGGTGTAAGAATCACCTACAATTAATTGCAACACATGTAGTTTTAACTTAAGGGCCCTCACATTTTCTTAATCCTCTTTACCCAGGAATACTCAATATTCCTCGACTAATGTTTCAATAGTTTAATATTTATAAATTTAAATGTTAACATTTGGTTAAGACGTAACGATTTACTGATATCTAAGAATCACCTTCGCCTGTTGGTTAGCGTTTCAATCTTGCCCATCTTGTTCAAATAATTTGTGCTCCTGAGCTATTGACTAGTTCATTTCAGTGCCAGCATGCGTAAATTGGACCTCGCACTTTCACTATTCTTATTTAATCAGGATTACTCAATATTCTTCCTATCATATTTAAAAAAAAAAATGACTGGTGGGATATTGAGTACTTCTGAGTAAATAAGAATAGTGGAAGTGTAAGGTTAGAAGTACATGCACTAGTGTTGAAATGAACTAGTCAGTAGTTCAGGAGTGCAAATCGCTTCAGCAAGATGGACTCGATTGAAGTGTGACCTTAGACTGGCAAAAGAAAAATAAATTAAATAAAATAAAAAATCAGGCGAAGGTGATTCTTATTGTCTCTATTATATAAATATGATTCATATTTCAACGGTTTCTTACTCAGACATACCTTTATAATTTATTAAGACCAAACGTCTGAGTGTAAGAAACACCTACACCTGTTTTGCCAATCAGGCATCAGACTTCTATATTCCCTGCCTTGCTCGTTGAAGATAGGATCCGGAACATGTAGTTTTAACTAAGTACGCTCACATTCTCTTAATTACACCCCTATTTACTCAGGAGTACTCAATATTCCTCCAATAATATTTTGATAGTTCATAAATTATAAATTAAAATATTAACTGTTGATTAGATGATGGCAGTATGGAAGAATCACCTGCTAAACAGAGTATTAAAGCTGAGGCCCGCAACACCCCACCATGAGGTCACACTTCAATCTTGTCCATCTTGCTCAAACAATTTGCGCTCTTGAACTATTGGAGTAGTTCACTTCAGCACCAGCGCATTTAAACCTTGTCATTATTCTTATTTATTCAGGAGTACTCGATATCCCTCCTATAATATTTTGATGTTTTCTTACTCAGACAGACCTTTATAATTTATTGGGACAAAACGTCTAGCTGTAGGAATCACCTACACCTGTTTTTCACCAATCAGGGGTCAGACTCAATATTCTGTGTGTTGCTCGATAAGGTTGGGGTCCGGAGCTAATCTGTGTCATTTCAGTTCCAACACATGTAATTTTTAACCTAAGCACACTCATATTTACTTAAATACATTTTTATTTACTCAGGAGTACTTGATATTCCTTCAGTCATATTTTGATAGTTTATAAGAATCAACCTATTTTTTTTGCCAATCTGAATTCACACTTTGTACTTGTCCACCTTGTTCAAAAAAGTTAGGCTCCTGAGCTATTGGTTCGGTTTCAGTCTCAACTCAAAAATTTTAACCTATGCTCAATCACATTTTTTTAAATACATTTCTATTTACTCAGGAGTATTGGATATTTGTGCAGTCATATTTTTATGGTTTCTGCTAGCCCTTTATAATTCATAAATTGGAATGTTAATAGTTCATCAAGATAAGGCAAAGTGTAAGAACCACTTATGCGTTTTTTGTCAGTCTGGGATAAACTCTTTAAATCCTGCTCACTCTGGCTCCAGGTGTGACTGAACAAACTATGTTATTTCGTGAAAAGCATCTGTGGTGATAATGGATGTTTCGTTGGTTAGGGGGTGTTTTTTGCTGTTTTTTAACCACAGTTCCTAAATTGTTCACTAGCGTTTGCCATTTGTCTTTAGTAAGTTGGTTAAATTGTTCAAAAGTTATCATTAAACAGTTTTATTTTATTTGTATTAAATATTTTAAAAGTGAATACTTAACAATGTATGCTTAAAAACTTAATACATTTTGTGGAACATGTTGAAAAATGAACTATCATAAAGACTATTTTACAACACCATAATTAATATTCGATTTTTATTTTCAGTTCAGCCCAGGGGAAATTTGTTACCAAGATCACCATATCTAAACGTAGACACACACTTCGATACGAAACCAGAATTTATCCTACCAGAAGGTGCTTCAAAGCAAAGAGGGAGATTTGAATTGGCCTTCGGTCAGATCGGAGCGTGTTGTATGCTCGGAGCTGCCTTCGGCGGCACTGGCGGTTTCGTCAACGGCCTCAAACAAACAACCCTAGCTGGACAAACTGGAAAACTTAGACGGACACAGTAAGAAATATTCAATACAAATGTCCCTTCTTATTTTTATTTTTTTATTAATTAATTTTTTTTTTGTAAGAGTTTTAAATCACGTAATGAAAGGTGGAGCAGCAAAGGCAAATACTCTCGGTGTTTTGGCCGTTATGTACAGCGGCTTTGGTGTTATTTTATCTTATGCTAGGGGGACTGATGATGAACTTAATACTTTAGCTGCCGGAACCGCTACTGGTCTTCTATACAAATCAACAAGTAAATAACACAAATTTAAATATTATTATATATAAATCTATTTATTTTTTATTTTTATAAAGGTGGATTAAAAAAATGTGGGATCGGAGGAGCCATTGGTCTCAGTCTGGCCACACTCTGGTGCCTTGTGACTTCAAGGGATAGATTTCAGAGCATGATGGTAAGCTCGTACACTCCTGCTTGAGGAACTTGGTTTGTCTTGTAAGTTTTACATTTCCGCCCCTAATTCCATTATCATTTATTTTTTTTACAATATCCATCTAAGGAAATGTTGGTAATGTAAAATTATTTAATTTTTAAATATGAATTATGATGGATTTAATGTGTCAACAGTACGATTTGAGATGCATGAGTCAATTAAAATTTCAACTTGGGACAAATGAAATTTTCACATCTTATTTACATTTTGTAGAAAAATAATATTAAAGTTGATAGTTGATCTGCAAGTTGGTGACCCAGCGGCAGTTATAAAATAATAAAGCTCTATATTATTTCACAACCTAACTTTATAATATACATTTGCAAATTTTTAATAAATCTGATTTAACTCAATTTTATATTTTTAATGTAAAATAAATCTTGATCAACTGCGATAATCCTGGTCTGCCTAATATCACTGTTTTTTATCTGTGCCTTGCCTTCTATCATACGAAGTGACGTTTAATGTTTAATTTTTTTTTTAAGTTTTCATTGTTTGTTAACTTAAATTTTGTTAAATTATATTTTCAAGCAATTAGATTTAGAAGTTCTTGTTGTTTTATTGGTAGGAGAATTAACTGAGGTTGCTGCATTAGTTTGTGTAAGATTTTGTTATTCATTTTATTTTATTTATTTTTATTTCTTTATATTCTTCTATCTTTGTAGAATGTAATTAGTCAAGTTTATTATGGAATTTTATGACATAAGTGTTTTATGTGTTTGGGTTTTCTCGTTTGGTATTACATATTTTCATTTTTACACGTCTGAGGATTTTTGTTTAAAAATTCCTTCATCGATGATGGCAGATTATTTCCTTCTTTTGATGGCATTTTTGTCATCACCCAGCATTTGATTGTATGTTAATTTATGAATTTTATTGGTCTAAAGATATCGAAATACCATACACACACCTGAGAAAAAAAATGAGAGAGATTAAGCAGACCAAGATTGTCAGAGACGATCAAGCTGACGTCTATCACCTTATACCCTTACTACAAGTAAATAATTAAATTTATTGAGAAAAAACTATACACTAAAAAGATCTATTTTATATAAACAAGTGCTTCTTACAAGAGTTAATTATGCAACATTTCACATATTCCAATAAATGATAAAAAAATACACAATTAGTTCAATTTTATTATTTTATTTTTATGATCTTTGACATTTGCTACTGATAAAATGTAATAATAAATCCTAGATCTTTTTTTTAAATTATGGTGAATTGTTTCAACTCATAGATTGGATATTTAGAAAAAATATTTCAACCTAAAAGTTGAATTGCAATTTCTCCCGCAGAACATTATTGCTTCGTATTGGATTTTAATTGTCAATATAAACAATTACTAGACTTTTGATTATTTGGAATGCATCTTGGAAATAATTTAATGCTAATATATTTAATTTATAATACCAGAACAATCTTGATAATTCGCATCCTATTTGTTTTTTAACCAGCTGGCCTTAACAAGTAAATGAGTTTTTGAAGAAAAAAAATTAGTCTTCTAAATTAATTCTATATTTGTGTTGTTCCAACGAATGTAGTCAAGTTTATTATGGAATTTTGTGACATAATGGATAGGTTTATGTGTTTGGATTTTCTTGTTTAGTATTTCATATTTTCTTTTATACTCCCCTGAGGATTTTTGTCTTCAAGGTATGCAGAAAAGCAAAATTGAAGGCATTCAAGAGGGTGAAAAACAAGCATCGATGGAAATAGCGTGTCAAATGCTTGCTCAAAAACAGTGGCATGGACCGGCAATCCGCAATGAAATTTTCGGTCTTGATTGATACTGAAATGAGCAACCTATCCAAAGATAAATTAGTCATTGGCTATTCTTTTGTTGATAATTCCAGCGTTTTGATCTCCCTGGAACTGTGTTTAAAAGCCACAGACTTCACCTGAAAGATAGTATATTGGCAAAGACTTATACAAATTCTAGTCCTTGGTATATTTCTCTAGATAGTAGCTCTTGACTTATATATGGTCTTAGTCATTTGTATACCAAATTTATTCAACATAAACTGGAATCTATTTATCCCAGTCTGCTCTATCTTGTCTTTTGATTAAAAATTATCAAATCTTAATTTTGGGATCATGGCTTCAACAGTCAAGCCCAGTACCTCGTCTGCTTTCCTGAAGCTTAAGCTTGACTTACTAACTGAACTTTCCTTGGCCAATTTGTTGACCTATTGCTCTGGCACCCAAACAAGGTTGATTTGTTTATTTTCCCCAAGTCTAACATGGCCTTGATGCAATCCCCAATCTGGCCTTTACTACCGATGGAGTTGACGATGATACCAGACCTTACTCAGTCTTAGAGTCATCTGTATTCCAAATATATTCGGCATTTCTCCCATTCTGCTCTATCGGTTCTTTTGATTTAAAATTTCTTATGAAATCTGAATTTTTGGGATCATGGCGTCTGGTAGGTACCCCTAGAAATTTGCCCTCTTGAAGTTCTTCCCCAAAACTTTTTTTCTCGGCCGATTTATCCTCGCCCCTCAGCCCTATTTGCCTTGGTTCTTAAACAAAGGTGATTTTGTTGTTTTCCTCAGTGTCTGACAGGGCCTTTAATACCTAAATATTTGTTTATTCTGAAATTCACCTTTATCTACCCTTTATTCTTTCATGATGATATGATTATTCTTAATTTCTATAATCCATAATCGACCCTTTCCCTCGCTGCTGTGAATTATCAAAATTGTACTGTATTTGTTTGAAAAATCCCACTAAATCTTGGGACATTTTTTTTATTATTTTGCCTTTGCTTTCGCAATTGACTGCAGGGCTAAGTTCGTGCCCTCAACAAATGGGCTTTATACATATATATCTACAAATACATAAATAAATAATAACGATTTTAACAACCTGGGACTTTTGATTAAAACAATAAGTACTTGGTGAAGGATTTTCCCATTTATTTGAGCATTTATGTCTAATTGTTTGCAAAATTAATGTTTTTCCTGACTGGACTGGAATATATTATTTAATTATAAAGAATATAAATATATTTAACCTCTTAAGAGAAAATGAGAAGTAAAATGTAAAACTTGCCTGGATTAATTATCAACTATATGTTTAAAATTTTACACCAAAGAAAAATAAATATATGTGTAATTTGTAACAAATCATTTTTTGTTTCAGACTTGAGAAAACGCACTCATTAAATTTGATTATCCCTGCTGTGTGATTTCATTGTTTAGTCATATAGAAATAATTTATTAAGATGACAAATTTTGTAAAATAAAAGCCTGTTATAGATGATCAGTTTTTCTGTATATACGAATTTTGTTATGAAATAGAGAATAAATGGAATTTTATTCTACAATTTGATTGTTTGTCTTTTTTACATATTTTACCCAAGTAAAACTAAATCGCTGTGAAGAGATACTGCGCAAGACAAAAATAGAATGTAAAAGAATGTGCAATTGAAATTATTATCTTTGCGTAGGTGTATTAGTAATGAATTGAACCTTATCTCGAGATATTTGTTTTAAGATAAACCCCGCTATCGCAGGTGATATACATTTTGCCTATGAGGCAACCAAGTCAAAATTGTTTTTAATAGAATAATGAAAGCCGACAAACACCTATGCTTGTTATACGTATCGGCATGTTTCGGGACTCTTGTCGTTTTTGTGGCATCGATGACAGCATGGCTGTATTGGGACAAAGCTTTGAACACGTGCCAGTACAACGAGCTGGATTTGTCTCGTAATTGCGGTTGCATACTGTACTCTAAATGGGGTGATTCTTTCATTAAAGGGGGTGATGTGCGGATTTGCTATTTTGCCGTTCTTTCACCGGTGCCGATAATCATTTGGACAGCGTTTTACGCCTTGTACCATGGTTACAGATCATTCTGCACGACGACAAAAGTCAAAGTGACACTTATTACTAAAAATGGGTGAGTTTTATGGAACAAAAGCATATCTGGCAGTTTTATTTTTTATTGTTCTATTCAATTGTGATATATTTTTAATAATAATATGAAAGATTTTTTTGCAGTTTGTCTGCCAGATGGATTTTAGCTTTTTGCCATCCTCATTGGTCTATCATGCATGTTTCTTATAGTCAATTTATGTATTATTACTAAATATTCTTTGTTTTGTTGAAATTACATTGTTAAATTGTACTTCAAAATCAAATAAATTCAATGATTTAAAATGTGAGCTTAAAAAGTGTACAGTAGGCAAAATAACACAGACTAACCACTAAAGATGGGGTGGTAAAATGTTGAAATATATGACAGACATACCAACATAAGAAGCATTCAAGTCCATCACCTCGTAGAATTGCGTGTGTGTTTTCTGTTCAAAAAAAAAATGTTTTTCAAAATTCAATTTGTATTTTTAGAGTTGATGCAGTGAACACTCAACTTTGGTCGAGGCCAATACTCATATTCGCCATAATCCTATGCGTCCTTTCGTCCGTGCTTTTGTTTTCCGAGGGAGTAATCGTAACGGACGGCTACTTAAAAACATGCGACCAGTATAAAAAATCGCTTGTGAAAGAATTGTCTGTAAGTGTCAAGTCTGACGAAATCAAAATGCAAGCTTAAATTTTTCTTTTACCAGGCGAGCGGGGCCCTTGCTAAGGCCATACACGACAGGATACCGTGTGAAGCGCTGTACGACTTTCTAGACTATCTACAACCCGATCCACCAACTTTAGAAGATAAATACAGAAGAGGTGCTTGGCGGATACAGACAAATATAGTCTTAACGATGTCCATCTATGGATCGTGGGTTTGTTTTGTTATACTAATTTTTTTAACAGTTCTGAACATCAGATGTATAAAAATCCCAAGAAAAAGACCAATCTTGAACACAAGCCTTTAATTTTTATTATTTCTAGTGAAAAAGATTGATTTCTAATCATATTTAAATATATTTAATAAAAAGTAAAGACAATGGAAAAACATGTATTCAAGTAATACATTTAAAAAAACATCTCTCTTAAAAAAATATACTTACATTGATCACCATTATATTACATATTCTTAATTTTATACTTTTTTAATTATATTTTTAATATATTCACTATAAATTTTTATAAATATATCCCCTCATCAACCTTTTTATCCATCTATACTTTATAAACAGAAGTTTGGTAGAAAATTTTTGTAAAAAAATTAAATCCTATGTAAAAGTTACCATGATTTAGTATAAAACTTAATGTACTGAGGAATACTGGTGAAGTTAATTAAATATTCACCATGCAGTAAAAATATCATATTCAATTTTTATTATTATTACATCAAAGGTTTTTTTTGTTTTTTTTTAAATATGTTCTAGCCCTTCTTTTCAAAAATTGTCAGAACGGAACAAAATTCTCAACTAAAAGACAGGTTTAAAACAATTGGAGATTTTTATAAAACAACTGAGCTTCTATTACATTCCTTCAAGTTCAATAACAGTCCAGACCTTTCACCTTCAGACAAATACCTCTTGCCAAGGAATAGCTTGCTTATTTATGGAAGAAACATTTCCTACAATCGAAAAAAAAAAGAGTTAGTGTTTTTCAGTGAATTCTATAACATCCACTTAATAATCCTGACCTAGCCCCTTCAGACTTCATTTCAAAACGGATTACTTTAAGGAAAAAAATTTCATATACTGGCAAACATAAAAGCCAAGTCGATGTTTTTTCAATGGATAAAACTCAGCTCTCACATCAACCTAATAATCCTGACCTAGCCCCTTCAGACTACTGTTTTACAAACATGGGTTACTTTAAGGGAAGACATTTCATATGTTTGAAATTATGCAACTTAAGTAAATTTTTTCAATGGATAAACTTGAGCTTATATCACATCAACCTAACAATCCTGACCTAGCCCCTTCAGACTTCATTTCAAAATAGATTACTTTAAGGAAAAAATTTTCATATACTGGCAAACATAAAAGGCAAGTCGATGTTTTTTCAATGGATAAAACTCAGCTCTCACATCAACCTAACAATCCTGACCTAGCCCCTTCAGACTACCGTTTTACAAGCATGGGTTACTTTAAGGTAAAAACATTTCATATGTTTGAAATTATGCAACTTAAGTAAATTTTTTCAATGGATAAACTTGAGCTTATATCACATCAACCTAACAATCCTGACCTAGCCCCTTCAGACTTCTTTCCAAACATTTCATACATTGGAAAATTACAAAGATTAAATTCTGGAATCTTTGTCTTTTTTATTTTATTTTATTTTTATGTTGATTTTAATATTTTTTCCGAATCATCATAAGTTTCTAAGTAATTAATGAATTAATTATTTCTCCACCTTTCTAATATAAAATTCATAAAGACAACAAAGTTGTTTGGAGGACTTTTTTTGCGATTTATTTCACGCATCTTTCCTGACTGTCTTATATTTTTACCCCAGGCAGGTTATCTTGAGCATACCCCCGTTTTTTTATTAATTCAGCATATTAGCCAAGAAGATGTGTAATATATATACATACACATATTTTTTTGTGGGGGAATGGGTGCGTGAAAAAAGGGCCAGTCGTGACAGTGGGAATCGAACCCTAGACCAAAAGTCTATCACGCTAACCACTTGGCTACCGCAATTAAAAGGTTATAAATTATTAAAATTAACTCTCAATAATAAAGATCATTTGTATAAATTGTTTTAAAAAATTAATAAATATTTATTTAGAAAATTACAACAGCTGCACCTTTTTTTGTTTTTTGTTTATTAAACAAGAAAAGTATAATAAATTATAAAATACAATCAATTAATACAAAACAAGTGTTCCATCTTTAAAACAAAAAATCAAATAAATTACGTACAAATAAAGGAATGTGCTTGAACACTGAATATTACTTTGGTATTATACAAAAATAAATTATTATTTTAAAGGTAACAGTCTCAGTAAATCAAGGAATAAGATTAATAAAATTTCATTTAAAATATCCGCTATCTACTATACAATATATATATTTTTTATGTTATATTGACAGCTATGTTGCCAGTACATGGGTCTAACATTTTCATAAAATTTATTTTATGTTTAATAATAAAAGGCACCTATCATACAATATATATATAATTATTTTGATAAAGAAACCTAGGCTCAAAGTGGCTTCTAAAAATATACACATGTTTTGTTTCTTTATTTGGCCTTTCTCAACTTTCTAATAGCGCTAATTTGGTTCTTAAATAATTTTATTACATAATAAAAACAGTACTTTGTATTAACCTAGCACTTTTTTTTTTTTAAAAGCAGTTTTCTTATAATTTCCTCTTATATTGAAAAATAGTGTACATGCATCAGAGCCGAATTATTTTTTAAAATATTTTCTCTTTAAGCCTATTCTATTAATTTTTTTTTTAACCTACTTTAATTAAACTTAAAAAGAAAAAACTTATCTTACATACGTTTACACATCACAGTAGCTTCATTGATAATGTAAAAATACAACATGCTATAATATAACTACTCTTGGAAGCACGTAAGTTAAAAATAACATGGAAAGTTTCCTTTAAGGCGCATTGTAAATATTTAAAAAATTCCAAACTATAAATACAACTTAACGATTTAAAAATATAAGCATTAACTTGCAAAACGTTGAAATAAATATCTAATTTATTTTTTTAGAAAATATTAACGATTCGCATTTCTCAGTATGTCGCTCTAATTTCAAACTGTTCAAAAAATATTAAAAACTAAAATAATACGATATTCAAACTCGAGTGATGTATCAAATTAAATTTACTTATTTTAAAATTTGTCTGAAAAATATATCACATCTTGAAGGTACTTAATAATAACACATGAACATACTACAAAAAAGCACAAAAGTTATTAACCCTCAAACGTCAGATATGTAATTGGATTAACATAAAACAAACAAAAAATTACTGTAAAGCAATTATGTCAAGTTCTACCACTATTTGCATATTTTTAAAAAATGATCAAAGAAAATTCGTAAGATCTGCAGCTTGAGGGTGAATCGTTTTCAAAATTAATCAACTGAGATGTTCAAGAAATAATAATTAAACATGGAAAACTATATGACATCACAAATGCACAATAAATAACATATTAAAATGAGATTACATATTTCCATTCTTAGAAAATTGGTAGTTTAAATATGCAACGCATAGGAACTTGATAATACAATTTATAAAAAATAATAAAATATGAAGCTAACAGTTTAAGATTGATAACCGTAACAACAAAAATAACAAGCAAACAACCTACTTTAAAAAAAAAATAATAATAATATATTAATGACTACTCTGACGTGGTAAAACATAACAATGTTTACCGAGAAAAATTCAAGAAAACGGATTGCTCCTTTTCAGGCTTCCGTAATGTTCAGAATGGTCTGGAGTCCCTCTGACGACTTCGTAAGGGACGAAAGTTTGCGAAATCTCCTGATCATCGACGTAGTCTTCGAAGCTCATGTTGCACAGACCGCTGCTCATTTTATTTTTCGACTTTTTCAAACTAGTATGTTTGTTCGTCCGAGCTTTGAGCTTGTTTTCATCTATAATTGGTAGTTTGCCGATTTTTTTACTCTTTTCTTTTGTCATAAAATTGTCGGCGAGATCGTCCTTACTGGGACTTGATATGACCTGGTAGTTGGGCAATGGTTCTTCGAATATTAAAAAATCCTTACCCTCAAATTCGGAATCAGTAAATTCGTTTTTATCCGTTACAAAAGGATTCGTATTAAAAGGAATTGAGCCAAAAATATCTTGAGGGATTGACGTATCAGTCTTCTCTTCTTTGCTTTTCTTTTTTTCAATTTTCTGAAAAGGAGCCATTGCGAAGACATCTTCAACGATGTCGTGAATCGGTGAATCAGATGTGTCTAATTCATCATCAGCCAACAATGGTTTATCACCATAACTGTGGCCTACAAAGCAATCTTGTTCCTCTACGGGTTTCAGTCTGGGTTTTTGTATGACATCGTCCCTGGCCATGCTTTCAGTTTCAGCGTGATACGCCGATGAACCGCATGTTAAAATACTTTCGTTGATCGTTTCCGTCTCTTCAAGCATATCGACTGCTTCTTCAATCTCTCTCGTTTGCAAATCGGTGGCGGAACCAATTGAATCATCAGAATTGCTAGTATGTTTCTTACGGTGCTTACTCGGTTTCTTTCTCCTCGTAAACCCTAAATAAAATAAAAATTCCAATTAGTACAATTATTAAACAGAAACAACCTGTTTATTAAGTCTTTATAAATTCATGCAGTAGGAAATTAGAAAACTTCTTAACATTTTGACTGTAGAGCATTCACATGTATAAGTACTCTGAGAATATATAAACATGTGAGGTGACATGCTTTGCATATGAAGCTTCACAGTCAATGTGTTAAATAAATATAAATATAATAATATATAATATAAACAGTATTTTTAAAAAAAGTGACTATTTTGTTTTACCATATCCATTTTTTATATATATTTTGATTTATTGTATTTCTAATTTGCATAATAAAATTACTACTAAAATTTAGCCAATAAATAGTAAATCTGTAGGTTGGTCGTATCCAATTATTTTGGTCTTTTTATCGATATTTTCAACTGTCAAATCTGTTCCATCTTTGCACAATCACTAGTAATGAGTTAATACGACCAAACTACAGGTTCATCACAAAATCTCACAAAACATTGAAACATTGTGATGAGATCTGCAAAGAAAGAATTTTTTTATTGTATTAGTATTGTATATTTTGTTTTGATTGGAGCTAAGCTGTTCTTCTTCTTTCTATAAAAAAGGTGATACCATCACATGGAAAAATTATCACCGTATTAAACTTATGCCGGTGCATAAGATATTCTCCATGAATGAATCGGAAGCCAACAACTGGGCTGCAAGAGGGACTGGGGATGACAAGTGTGCCTTACGAAGATCAACGATGGAGTTATTCTCACTAAGGCTAATGCTTAAAAAAGCTTCGACGCGATTCCATAAATAAGGGGGAAGGGACATGAGTTCATTAGTGGTCCCATTAAAGCCAGTGAGACTGGTTAAAATGACCTGAAATGATATGTCATAGATAAGGGTTGTAGCCTCCTGGAGGAGTTTCAAGTAACAGTTGGGTTGAGGTAGGAACACCCATTCTTTACAATTTGTCCCTAAAAAAAAGACAATAGAGCAATCTGGACAAACCCAGTGGAACAATCTATAATATAGGATCATCATATGGCACTTGAGTATTTAATCCGCCCTAGATGAATTTGAAACAGCAGCAGCAAGTATCAGTTTGCAAATCATGAAATATAGCTTTTTTTCCAGCAAAGTTAACCATTTTCTGCATCAAATTAACCCTTTTTAATTTCAAATTAATTTTTTTTACTTCAAATTAGCACATTTTAGTTTCAAATGAACCAATTTTGTATCAAACTTTTAATTTCAAATTAAGCGTTTTCGCAACAAATGAACCTTTTTAATTTCGAATTAACCATTTTTGCAACAAATTATTCCTTTTTAAATTTAAAATTAACCGAGTTTTTTTACTTCAAATAAATTTTAGTTTCCAATTAACCATTTTCGTATCAAACAAACACTTTTTAATTTCAAATTAAGTTTGCGCAACAAATGAACCGTCTTTAATATATAGCATGACAAATTAACCATTTTCACATCAAATTAACCATTTTTGCCACAAATTATTCCTTTTTAAAATCAAATTAACCATTTTTGCCGCAAATTATTACTTTTTAATTTCAAATTAAACCTTTTTGCAACAAATTATTCCTTTTTAAATTTCAAATGAACCGTTTTTTTTTTTTTTGTTTTTTTTTACTTCGAATTAATACATTTTAGTTTCTAATTAACCATTTTCGTATCAAACAAACACTTTTTAATTTCAAATTAAGTATTTTTGCAACAAATGAACCGTCTTTAATATATAACATAACAAATTAACCATTTTCACATCAAATTAACCATTTTTCCCACAAATTATTCCTTTTTAAATTCAAATTAACTATTTTTGCCGCAAATTATTTCTTTTTTAATTTCAAATTAACCTTTTTTGCTTCAGTTTCCAATTAACCATTTTCGTATCAAACAAACAAATTGAAATTATTTATTTCAATTAAGCATTTTCATATTTCCATATCAAACACTTTTAAATTTCAAATTAAGTATTTTTGCAACAAATGAACCCTCTTTAATATATAACATAACAAATTAACCATTTTCACATCAAATTAACCATTTTTCCCACAAATTATTCCTTTTTAAATTCAAATTAACCATGTTTGCAACAAATTATTCCTTTTTTAATTTCAAATTAACCTTTTTTTTGCTTCAATTTCCAATTAACCATTTTCGTATCAAACAAACAAATTGAAATTAATTATTTCAATTAAGCATTTTTATAACAAATTAACCCTTTTTTAATTTCAAATTAACTATGTTTGCAACAAATTATTCCTTTTTAATTTCAAATTAATCATTTTCACATTAACAATTTTTACATTTGCCCGTTTTTTTGTTGTTTATATCATAATTTACAAATGTACAACACCATTGCTCCCAGAGAAATGTCTGCAGATTGTAAAGAGCATCTGATGAACAAAATCAGATCAAGCTAGAGATCGTATTACGCTGACACATTTACTACAGAGTTACCACAGCCAATGTTTAACCACCCCCGTGCATTAATTGTTTAAAATATTAATCAGGAGTATTTAATATTTTTGTTTTAAATATTCTAAATCACCTTTACCACATTATTACAGAAAGCAGTATATTTTAGTAGTGCAAAATGTGCTCAATTTTAATTCGTTTTAATTGGAAAGGGATATTTACCGATATCTTCATCTGAAGATGCGTCCTCCTGGTTAAAAGTAAGTTTCTCGTATTTTGACCTATCTTGGACAGGAATTCTGACAAAAAGAGGAGGAGCATTAACGTACGTTTCATCCTCGATTGGGTTCTTTTCGTTTCCTTCGTCGTTTTGAACAAAATACTTCCATTCCTTTTTGTTGACATCAAACCCTGTAGTAAACGTTAACAAAAAATAATCAAAGAAATTAATAAAATCAAAATTTATATGCGAACATAAAGTTTCGTTTAACAAAAACAAAAAATCAACCTGAACAAATAATAATTGAAACAAACATAAACTCACAAAGGATGGGAAATATTGAATAATTCAAAATATATTTTCAAACACCAGCCTTTATTAGTAAACGTTTACAGCCATATATGAATAATTTTTTAAAAATATTTTTTATAAACAATATCACAATCCTGATATAAAAAATGATGCTCACTTAAATTTTGTCCAAATTATCTCATATTAACAACTGTTTCTCGTGGGAAGACAAACACATCAATATAAGAATACCAAACTGGCCAATATATATTACAACTTATGTGAGCTTCTCAAAAGGTTTAATCAAACAAAATTTTAACAATGCAAGCAATTATTAACAAACAAATGACAAATAAAAAGATAAATCAAGATATTGGCTGAGTGCTTACATAAGGACTGATATTTGAATTGGAATGTTTACAATCTAGAAATCAACCATTGACTGCTTAAAAAAAGTTAAATTCTACAATTTAAGAGAGCAATACTTCCCAATATAGTTGGTTATTCATGACACAAAATGCAAAACCTATGATTTTTTTAAATATAATTAAATTATATTTATATTGTCTCAATAACTTGCTTTATATATTCATAAAAAAATACATACTTGAAATTTACTTAACTTCTCAAAACAAACAAATCGCATACAAATAAATTTCAGTAATTTTTCAGTGTTTCTCAAGGGCCCAATTTAAACACAAATCACAGTTATTTCTGTTGTCATTTCTTAAAAATATATTTTGATTTAACAAAATGCATTTTTTTAAACTTGTTTTTATTTGTTAATGACTAGACAACATGCTCTATCACAGTTGGAAATGTGACTGATTTTATGCGAGAAAAAAAATTTTTCAGGGTCAAAAACTAAACAATTTTTGTGTAAATTTGAAACAAGGCAAAAACGCCTGTAAATTGTAGCTCCAAACGGATTTGTACTTCAATGCGCAACAGTCCGTGAACATCATCAGTTAGGTAGAAAACCATCTAAAGCCAAGGATTACTGTGATGAAATCCTTCAAATTTTGGAATTTCTGCAAGTTTTGAATTAAATCGATATTAAGATTTTATTAAAATAGTTTTGTATTAAAAAAAAGTTAAAAACATGTCATTATCATGCTGCTTCTCAACTTTGATGAATTTGTTCTGAAAAACGGACAAGACGTTCTGAAAAACGGGCAAGACAACACAACAGTACCAATTGACACACAAAATTAAAATAAAAAACATTACAATATTAATAATTGATGATGTTTTATTACTAACACAAACAATTCCATTATCAACTCCTTTTGAACAAAAATTAATAAACAAACTGACGAAGGGGATTTCAACAAGCAGAGATTTTTTTTTTAAATCAAGAAAAAATAATACACCAAACAAAACAATATGGATTAGAAGAGGAACAAAACAAAAACCCATCACAAAAATTGTTCATCATTCATAAAATTTGACAAAAACTCTGGTAACACTGTAAATAATTAGAATTCAACATTAAAAAATAAAATGATCTGCCAGATTAATAAATCCTCGTATTTTTTATTGTTGTTTTACTTTTGACTAAGCCAATTTTAAAAAGTAGATTAAATACTTTATGTTAAGTTGTTTCAGCATCCATAATCGTGTACTTTTCTGTAAATGTCGAAACATCGTAACAGAAATTATCGCCTTTAAAGCATTGACTACGGAATGTCATGTGCCATATTCTGAGCCTGAATTACGAGGAAGAAAGTCATCTCACACGAGTATTCCATAGTCAACGTATCAATCGTATAATTTCTAAAATTGACTTAGTAAAAATAAAATCCATAATGTAATAAAAAAGGACAACAAAAAAGAAGGGTTTTTATGATTTATGACTTGTCCCTTTAAATTTTATTTATAAATTGTATATCATTTGTTGATAAGTCAATTAATGTCTTTAATATTTTCAATAATGCCCAACTTATATAAAATAAGAATAATAATATAACATAAGATGATTAAAAGAGAAAAAAGGGTTTTGTTATAATATAGTTACTGACAAACTGAGATCATCCAGTAAGGAAAATGTTAGAAAATTTACACATTAATTATTATACAAGCAAATGACCACGATGGCAGGATAAATCTGATTTAATCTGTTTTAAAGCGTAAAATAGACAATGGCATGTTTTCATCCGGGCAGAATTATAAAAAGAAAATCTGACTAGAATTGAGCTCAAGAGAGACACTATTTTATAAAGCAATTTAATTTTTTTTTCCTCCCAAGTTTATTTAAGAACCTAATATTTTTTCAAATTGAAAAAATAAATAAATAATCAAATATTGCTCTTAAAGCCTGGCCAGATAGAACGCAATCTGTTGCAGTGGGAAGTGGTATCTGACTTTTTTTTAAGGTGGGCCTCTATAAGACAGATCTACCACTTCCAGCATGATTTTGTCATGACGACAAGTGATCTGGTTGTACAAAAGATTGCCTGTTCGATCAGCTTGCTGCCTTTGGTTCTTTGCATTACAGTTTAACTTTATTCGTGGTTAAATTTACTGATCAAACAAAAATATTAAAGTAATTAAAAATTAAAATAATTAAATGTTTTCCCTTAAATTTTCTCTCTTTATTAAAAATTCATGCACCCAACATTGTATTTTGTTTTTGCTACCAAAAAAGCGATTAAATCGGTCACAGTCAAAGATTGCTTTCTGTCTGGCCTTTAAGATAAAAAAAAACTAATTACTTATTAATTCGCGTGAGCAATACAGATCCTAATATCATTTTTAAATCTATCAGACAATTTTATTATATTATATAGTTTCTACAAGGGGCTTTATTTTGTTTCTTTTGTGTATTTGTTAGGTTCAAGAAGACACATTAACTTATTAAAGCAAAATATAATAAAAAGGAAATCACATTTGTTTTTTCCTGGATATTTCATTCGTCCAGTTCTACTCTACGATCATATTTGATAAACGAGCTTTCTTTTTTTTTTTTTTTTTTAAACAGCGTTAAGCTCAAAATCCTTTTATCACACTTTTCAAATGGTAACAACTTTTTTTTACAACAAATCCAGGTATGGCCTTTTAAACTTACATTGACATACATTTAAAAACATGATCAACAAAATAAAAATGATTGAGTCTGTCTCGTCTATAACGCCGGCTAAATGACGACTAATGAGAAGCACACATTATAGGTTTTGCACATTTTCAAGATCACAAAGATAACAGAGACAGAAAATCAGAAGTCATCATTAAAACTATAAAAAAAATGTACATACCAATTAGAAGAAATTGTGGTACACAATTTTTTTTTCTTTTTTTTCACGGTTGAATTAATTAGGTCTTAATTTTTAAAATAACTGGAAGATCCTCAAAACAGTACATGTTACGACCCAATAATAATTCATACCGACCAATTTTACTTTTCAAAAAATTAAATGAACTGTATTTTTTTAACATTTTACAAAATTTCCTATTAATCAGATTATTATTTGTTTAAATTGCAAATAATTTTATTGAAAAGTTGAATAAACGTTTTTATTAACACTCGCACCGGCATCGTAAGTATTTTTTTTCCTAGTGCTGTTAATTTTTTATTATTATTATTTTTTTAACTACCCTCCAATGATTTCTTATGGACAGTAAAGTCATTTTCTTTAAAAATTTTGAACAATGATGTAATTGCAATTGCTCATTTTGTAGTGAAAAAGATGCCTAGGTCTATTTAGACCCACCAAAAGTGGTCCACGTCCTATATTTTTCCAGTTCTTTATTTTATTTTATTTTTATTATTATTATTTTAGTACAATTGTTCTTTCCTTACTTAAGTAGGGAAAAGGATTAGCTCTACTATTTGTAATCTACTAATACTTACTAAGCCCTTGTCTACTCTCCCATTTTTTCCATTTACCTCAGTTTAAATTCAGTTTCTGTGTGAAAGTGAGCAAATTGGATGCTAACTCAACTTTTGGCTTATTAGATTAAGAACAATAAAGTGAAGTTATAATAACAGCTAAAAATGATTTTTTTTAACCCTTAACCCCTAACTGTATTTACTTGGGTGGATGATATTTTCAAACAGTTTTGAGGGCAGGAAGAAAAAATAAATCATTTTTCTTGACAACCGATGCTTTCTTCGCTCTGACGACAATAAATATTAATGTGCCTGATGTGATAAATGCAAGCAATTCATGAGTGGTAAACATTCAGTAGCAACCAAAAAAGCAGTGGCATATAAGTTGTGTAGGGGAGATTAATAACGTAATAGTTATATAATAATGTAAAATAAAATAATGTCAATAAAAATTTTTCCTATGTACAAACTTTTTTTTATAACATGTAAATAAAAGTTTAGCATAGACGAAATTTTTTATCATTTTTAATTTTTTTAAAATTAATTATTTATTTAAATTTGGTCAAGACCAAATTTGATTGGTAAAGTGGAACACGAAAACTAGTGAATTTAATTAATTATTTAAATAAATTTTAAATTAATGCTAAATAAATAAACTTTATAAAATAAATTTAAAAAAACCGTATTATTGTAGTTTTTCAGTTAAAAATTATTTTATTAGGTATAAAAAAAACCCGCATTGGCTGTCCACATTATTTTTTTACTGACAACGGTGTGAGTGTTAATAAATCACATTTAAGGAGTCATATTTTAAAATTAGTCTGTCCAAAATACGTCACAATATTCAATCAATATCAAATATTAAGTCGATAAATTAATTTTCAAAAGGAATAAATTTTTCTTGGTCCTTTTCTACCAATTTTGACTTCAAACTATAAAGTTATCAATTTTAACAATTTAATGCGGACTTTACTAAAAGACAGAAAAAAATTTTCAGTTTTATATTTTTTATGAAAGCACATCTAATATGAAAATATTGTTCATTTGATTCAAGAATAAGTTTGTTAACATCTAATTTTATCATAATAGCTATAATGCACATATATTTCAAATTATATTTAATTTTTTACCTAAATGTAATGTGTATTTTTAAGCTTTATTAGGCCTTAGTAATCATTCAACATTACCTGTAGTCGTAACTGGTGCAGCCTTTGACGATTTGTTTTTCAAGCTTTGCCGCGAAGCTAGAAAAATTTACTTCATTTTAGAAAAACCTTAAAGGAAACCAAAAGATTTTTAATACCTGGAAGTGAAAAAGGAGCTGCGCTGAAAGGATCGTCTTCAGCAGTTGTTAAATCGCTAAAGGCCATGACTAAACTCTCTCGGCTTTTGACATTTGTGATACCTAAAACAAAACAGAATTACAGCCATTTAAATGATTCTATATTCAAAGATGGCTTACTTGATTGTGAGCCCCTTTGAATTTTATCAAATTCAGCACCGAAAAGCTGGTCTTCAGTAGCTTTTGGAAACTGATCCGCTTCGTAAAACGGATTCCAGTGCGGCGTCCGAGCTGTTGCTGACTGGCATCTAACATCCTCACTATTATTGCCCAAATCGTTCTAAAATATAGATAAAAATAAAATTACATATCTGTGAATTTTGTATTATAAGATTTTTTATATTTACTTGTGATGTCGTAGTTGATAAATGTTGACCATCAGAATGAGAATCTTGATCATCAAACTTAGGTTTTGAAGCCTCATATGGTGCTAGGAATTGAGTTGTTTCAGTAGTAAACGCCCTAAAAATGAACACCGCATTAAAAAATATATACATTTCTCATTTCATCATTTACATTAAGTTTTTGTTTTTTTTTAACAAGGTTTGTACCAGCAGAAAATGTATAAACCCTTGGGGTTCGATATCGGTGTTAAAAAAGTATAAAAAAATTAAAAAAAGACCATTTGTAAGTATGTCAGGCTTGAATGCAGGGCCATTGAATTCAAACCCAAGACCTTTACCTTACGATGATGAGCGCCATGTCAACACTTTAAGCATTACGTCCACTGACCTACCCCTCCTTAGAGCCAGAGTTTTTGAGTATAAGGGTTTGTGGTGGAATAAAGTGGGGAACACACCTGACGCAACACAACATGACCTGATGCCTTGTCTCGTTTTGTTGTGCACTTCTGTTTATCAAGTGAACGCCATGCCACGTACAGTCACACGGTGTGTATCACAATCACAATGCCTGTTTTGTTCTTAATGCATTAATTTGAGCAAACCCATATAATAAATTGTTAGTTAAATTTTATGAGCACAACCATATAATAAATTGGTAGTTAAATTTATTCGTTTTAAATAAAATTATTCCGGTTTTTTGATAAATTTCCTGCCGAGCCATCGTAATTAAATAATTTTTATAAAAACCCATGAATTTTTTATCCCTTTTAATTTGGTTTACATTAAAATAAGCGTTGTAATTAATAAAATGACATATACATGGAATAAAATTAATACAAAAATATGGTCCGGTCCTGGCGATACTCGACGAAATTGGTGTAATTTTATGAGCAAAACCATGCAATAAATTGATAGTTAACTTCTATGAACAAAGCGATATAATAAATTGTTAGTTAAATTTTATGAGCAAAACTGTGTAATAAATTGTTACTTAAATATTATGAGCAAAACCATGAAAGAAATTGTTAGTTAAATTTTATGAGCAAACCGTGTAATAAATTGTTAGTTAAATTTTATGGGAAAAAATACATGAAATAAATTGTTAGTTAAATTTTATGAGCAAAACTATGTAATAAATTGTTAGTTAAATTTTATGAGCAAAACCATGAAATAAATTGTTAGTTAAATTTTATGAGCAAAACCGTGTAATAAATTGTTAGTTAAATTTTATGAACAAGACAATGTAATAAAAAATTGTAGTTAAATTTTATGAGCAAAACCGTGTAATAAATTGTTAGTTAAATTTTATGGAAAAAACATGAAATAAATTGTTAGTTAAATTTTATGGGCAAAACCGTGTAATAAATTGTTAGTTAAATTTTATGAACAAAACCATGAAATAAATGGTTAGTTAAATTTTATGAGCAAAACCATGTAATAAATTGTTAGTTAAATTTTATGAGCAAACCATATAATACATCGTTAGTTAAATTTAATTATTTTAAATAAATTTATTCCAGTGTTTTGATAAATTTCCTGCCGAACCATCATAATTAAATAATTTTTACAAAAACTCATGAATTTTTGATCCCGTTTAATTTGGTTTACATTAAAATAAGCATTTTGTCATTAATATAACAAAATTATATATACATGGATTAAAATTAGTACAAAAAATATTAGTGTCCATTTCTGGCAATACTCAGCGAAATTGGTGTAATTTTATGAGCAATGTAATAAATTGATAGTTAAATTCTATGAACAAAGCGATGTAATAAATTGTTAGTTAAATTTTATGAACAAAACTGTGTAATAAATTGTTACTTAAATATTATGAGCAAAACCATGAAATAAATCGTTAAGATTTTATGAGAAAAAAAAACACGAAAGAAATTGTTAGTTAAATTTTATGAGCAAACCATGTAATAAATTGTTAATTAAATTCATTCCATCAATAAATGGTATTCTTGTGTTGTGATCAATTTTCTGCCAAACTATTAAAATTTTTTTAAATAAAATCATCAATTTTTTTAAATGGCTTTATGTGTACTATGCATATTAGCCAATGCCAGAAAATATATTATGCATAAAAAGGGCCAGAGGTGATGGCAGGAATTGAACCCACGACCGCGAAGTCTACGAGCCGAGAGTCCCTTACACCAACTACTTGGCCCCCACAGTCCCCAAGTCTTAATTCGGTTTATATTAAAATAAATATATTATAATTAATATAATGGCAATAATACAAATAGTTTGAAATCAAAATATGAGTGTCTGCTTCTTTTGTCTTCGACTGTACTCGAATGCTACTCGACGAAAATCTGGACAGTGGGGAACTTGGTTGCATCGCGTAGCGTTGTGTGACATTAGGCAGATGTGGATGGTGGTAATACAATCTTATGGAAAATTGGACATTGGATTTGCATCAGGTGGCTACTGTATGAATAGTTTTGATTTGTATTAGTGTATTTATTGGCGTAAATGAGTGTGGTACCTCAGTGGAATATTGACCACCCTAGATATGTATATATAGTAAATATGTTTTAAATGTGTTGCTTAAGCCTTCACCACATGTGGCGAGGCTAATTATGAGATAACGTCCCACAATTTCATTGGGAAAAAGTTTACACAGCCCTCCTGAAGGAGCGCACAATCTACTGTCAAAACATGAGATGGAAAAGATGTGAGCTATAGTAGCCAAATGGCCAATTATAAAAACAAAAAAATTTTACATCAGTAATCAGTCATGAATTTATCCTTAAATACCTACTTGTTAAATGCAGAAGTATCGCTAACATTCCTTCTATGTTTTGGTGAAACACTGCTTAATGACCTACTGTCTTGTTCGTTCCCTGAATCCTCTCTAAACGGGTCAGGAAAGCCTAACAAAAAAGAAAATCAATAATTTTTTTCTTAAGGAAAGCTTGAAAAAAATTACCTGATGGAGGAAATAAAGATACGGGTTGTTTTTGTGATGATGGTTTCGGGCGCTGTCTAGGTGTAATACTAGTCGGTTCTACGATAGGCGTTGTATGGATTTTGCTCGGGGTTACAGACTTTTTCTTTTTATTGTCGTTTTCTTGAATATTTGACAATTCTTCTAAAGTAACAGCTGGTGAATTCTGAAAAAAAAAATTAGATAATGAAAATTTTATTAACTTTTTTTTTTAATAGGTAGGGATTTGCAAATGATGCTAACGTATAAATTTTGAACTGGGCATTCTCTGCCGGCTAAAGAGAAAGCTACGCTAGAAACTTGAAAAATATCAGGCCTTTTTTCTGCATCCGGTTCTAACATATATTCTAAAAAAAGAAACATCAAATTAAATCAAGGTCCTTTATTTAATTATTATAAGTAAAAACTCACTAATTAGACAGTTCATTCCATTAGAATATTTAGAATTTTCGGGTATAGTATATTGCGCACTTTGAATTGCCAAAGTGCTTTCGCCAAATGGAAGAGAGAAAAAGCATAATTTGTATAAAAGACATCCTAAAGCCTGTAAATAAAAAAATAAAAAATAAAATATAGTAATAGTAGACAGCTAGGGCGTTAACAGTTATGCTTAAAAACACAAACGAACATACCCAAATATCTGATTTTACAGTAATCGGTTTGCCTGAATAGACATCGACCATTTCAGGGGCACGATAAGAGAGCGTAGTGTATTTTTCTATTTCTTCTATGACATTTGAAGCACCATGAGTGTTCGCCGACAGAACCTTACCAGTCGCAGAGCCAAAATCACATAACACATACTGACCATTTTCTCCTACTAATATATTTTCAACCTGATAAATTAAAATAAAGCGAAAATTAATTTTTTTTGTTTAAACCAAGCCAGAAAAAATGTAAAACCTTCAAATCCCTATGAATTATGGGCGTCTGACAGTGGTGCAGTCTAGAAACTGCTTCGCAAACATCACAGAATATTGATAAAACTTCTTGTTCGGTAAAACCTGATTGAAGCCTGAAAAAACATTTATCAGTCATGATAACAAAAATAAAGAAAATATGCATACCTGGCATTCATAAGTTGTAAAACTTGTGTTTTACAGTAAGGCATTAACAATAATACTTCATAGACACCATTCCCCGTAGGTGTTATGCTTGAATCTATATAACCTATTATATTTTTATGACCATTCAAATTGCTCTGTAAATTAAACAATGATATGCTCAAATGAAGCAGGAATATTTTTTAAAATTAGAAAGACCAACTTACTGCTATTTGTATTTCTCGTTTACACACATTCAAATCATGATCGTTATTAACATACATCCGTTTGAGAGCAAACCTTTTACCACTATTGTTCTTTACCAAAAATACGACAGCAAATCCACCTGGAAATTAACATAAAATAAGTTTATTAAAATTAAATAAATTATGTGGCTTTAAGTATAAAAAAGAACTTGGAAATAAATATTTTGTGAGATTTTTTTTACTGTAAGGTGATGAACTGTTAATTAGGTAATTTCCGAACACTCCAGGTTTGATTTATCTTTACTGATTTGGTTTGTCAGATGTATTCGGCATTTCATCATCTTCACCAGTTAATCTGCATGTTATTTTGGCAATTTTGAACTTTTTAAAGTCTGTAAACTGTATTAAGTCAAAATGGGTGTGATGACGATACTAATAAATATGTCTGACAAATAAATCAGTAAAAATGATCAACCTAGAATGACCAATATCTAGAGATTATAATTACATACAACAACCTGATAAAATAAATTTTGGCAACCAGCTAAATACAAAGTCAATAAACTTTAATCTGGGTCTCAAAGGCCCCTTGAATAATGGATCAAGGAGTAAGTCATAGATGTTAAACAGGGGGCTTAACTTATGATTTTTCCTTCTTGAAGGTAGGATAATAGGTCATCTCAAAAAAACCACTACCAGTTTTTATCCACAACGTTTCGGATTTATTTTAATCCTTCCTCAGGTGAGTTAACGCAATGGTTAAAACAGTGGTTGTCTATCATTAATATTTTATAAGTTTATTTTAAAAAAGAGCCAGTGTGTCTTTCAAACTCCGAACAAACGTTTTAATATTTTGAACCTGACTAGTCAGGATTTTTTTTTTTGAGATGACCTATTATCCAACCTTCAAGAAGGCAAAATCATAAGTTAAACTGTTGAGGTCGAAATATAAGAAAACATCGTTACTCTAATAAAGGGGGCTTAACGTCCAACTACCCGTTGGGGCTGATGAGGGATCAAATCACTTCACAATATTTCATAGCATTATTAAGTCAAAAGCCAAGATTTCTGCCAGGATTCAAACCCAGAACCACTAGGTGGTAAATACGAGTCGGACCAACCACTCGGTCATCGCTGTACCCCCACTTGATTATGAAAGCAACACATAAACAATGATTCAAGCCTTCAGCTATAAAAAAAATCCTATTTATAAAAATACAAACTATAAACAGCTCTACAGTAGAAATTTAATTCAAAAGGGTCAATTAAGAATTATCAGTACCAAGAAAAGATAAGTCATATGGGACTTAAGGTTGGAATGGGTTGGAACTTGGGAGATAGAGTGAGGAAGGGAATTTTTGAGAATGGACGAGAAAAAATACTGAATGCAGTAATTCTGTGTGGAGAGGTCAGAAGGGCTAGAGCAAGTATGATGAGCATGTACAGAGGATGTAAAGGTGAGGCAATCATGCATCTCCTAGATGAAGGAGCTGAAGTAGTGTCTGCGGAAGAAATGGTATAGTCAAGTCAGTGTACAGTCATGTGAGACCTCCTTTATGTTTAAGCTCACCTTCAAGCCCATAAAAAAAGGGAGGAGAATAAGGGAGGAAACTAAAAAGGAGAAAGTGGAGGGTTGAAAAGCAGCAGCTGGAAATCTGGGAAATATGGGTCATCTAGGACAATTCCAAGGTTCTTGATGGTGGGACAAAAGAATTAATTTTAAATGGAAGGAAAGGAAGTAACAAATGGATTAAGGGTCTAAACACAATAGCCTGGGACTCAAGCCTATTTTCAGCAGGTGCGTTTAAGTCCTGATTTGTAGAATTATAACTTGTGAGCCAGGGGGTGGGAAGGAAAGGTAAATTTGAGTGTCAACCATGGATTAGTAAGCGGAGTTGTTTGAGCCTGAGGTACTTACGAATGATGGATTGGGAGCTTATTTGGGATGGAGACTACTTGAGACCCGATATCCGTATTGCTGGTATTTATCAGGCTCATTTTGATTTTTTTTTCTTTTTTACTGTATTTTGACTCACCGGCTTTGAGAGACTAGGATGATTTGAAAGGTCCAAGTTATTATTGGAAAAGAAAAACAGTTCTTTTATATTGGATTTTTTTCCCCAGATAAGAAATACAAAGCATGAAAATATTTCAATAACAAATTCTATTTTTAATGGCCAGACAATGTATGAATCAATGATTTATCAACGTTGTACACAGAGAAGTTGAAAATATTTATAGCCTGTAAAAATAAACAGTTAAAATAGTTGGACGTACAATATAAGTGATTATATTTTTCGGTTTCACACACACCGATATTTATGTTTCAGGCAGAAAGATAACGGATAATTGGGCAAATCTTATCTAGTGCTAGGGGGAAAAAAGCCACTTGGTTTCGGAATTTCTACTGTCCACATTACTTGGAATTACAGAGGCTAGTTGATGTTTTATAGGCAAACACGCTTCGTGGAATCTGTTTGAAACGCGTTACAAGTTGAAAATCAATTTGGCACGGTATAATGTCATTTTGAACCGAAGCTGATATCTTTTTTTCACTCATAAAAATAATAAATATTGGAAAAACCTTTGTAAAACTTGAACAAAAATTATTATATTATCCCAGAATTCAAGCTAGATTTATCAAATAAAATCTGAAAATGTCAGTTGGTACAAATGATAGCAATTAAATAGTTATGATACAGATACATAATTTACAATCTAAAGCCATCCAAGGGGTTGTTAATTACAAAAATAACCTTATAAAAGGATAATAATGATGAAATATAATTCAGACCAATCACTAAAGATGGTTAACGAAGAGGATTAAACTTCGGGTTCATCGAATTGCAGACTTTCAAAAAAAAATTTCACAGTTTATCATTATTACCAAAATTGACAATTATTTAAATAACACGACACGCAAGGATGGCACAATTACACAGAAGACAAACACTTTGAGCCCTGAAGATGATCTCAACAAAAGATCGAAACGTTGGCACGATAAAGAAAATGTTTTCTGAAAACTACATCACACCCGACCGCATCTCACGATATCTGAATAACTATTTAAATAAGAGCAGATTGTTAATAAGTTAACACATTGTGATTTCATTTGTTAAATAAGAACCACCAAGGAATAGCAATTTATATGTATATTTAATATTTAAATTGGTTTATCACACAGCACCTTAGAAAATCTGAAACGCAGGATCTCAAGAGTATTAGATGTTAGGATACATTTAGGTTTATATGCATTTGAAATATCTGACAGAAGCCCTTGAGAAAAATAAGAAAAACATGAACATCATCAAGGTCCATCTATCATTAATTTTCAGCTCAAAAACCCTTTTGAAATTTAGTCTACCTCATTCAGATAGAGAGTAGAAGCTTAACTTGTAGCTTTAGAATTTGTCGCATTTTAGCAGCCGCCTGGGCATCATCAACTTGAGGCCCCCTCCTGACAATCAGAGGTGTTATTGACCAGGCTTGGAGAAAGACGGACCTGCAGTTTAGAACTTCCATCAACTTGTGAAAATTTGTCTGATTCAAAAAATCTCTTTTGGTTCCATTTGTAAACAGTGGTGAGCTTTTTTTATTTCAAACTTTCTTTTCTTCTTTTAATAAAAATGTTTTGTTATATGCCTAAGAATGTTGAAAAGATCTATTTTAATTTGTTTCTGTTTTACATTTTTTTTTTTTTTGTCTCGTTCAGTTTTCTTTTTGGCTCTAGTTGATTCTGAGATTTTTGCCCTTCTTGTCAAGTTTTTTGGAGAGCCAATGACTTCGGTTTAAATAATTTTTTTGGGGGACATCAAGCAATCCATGTTTGCAACCTTTTTTAATCAAAATTACCCATTTTCTGCAGTTTTAGGTTTAATGGTTAAAATGTGCAGGACTTGATTTAAAAAATTTACACAAACGTCTTTCTTGGTAACAAACATGATAAAATGTACAGGATTATCTCAAGCACTTCTACAAATATGCACACACAAAATAAACTCATGGTACTTCATGTATGCTGCACAAAGATTTATTAAAGTTATAAATGCAAAAACAAATACTTTGCGAAACCCTGAAACGTGAGTCCACGATAAATTCTACAAATTGGAAAAAAATCAATGCCTGGAGAAAATAATAAGTTTAGCCTAATCTTGACAGACTAGTTATGCAAAAGCCTCCAATGGCAAAGAATCACCTTACAGGACTGGCTTAAATTTCAGTAAAGTATGCTGGATTTTTGCACCAGGCATTTAAGATTTAAGGACCGAATCGGGATATTAAATAAGGCGCAATGCTTGGTACTGACCACTATGCCAAAAATTATCTAATAATGGTCCAAACAGGCAAAAAGTTAACATTCCAAACGGTAAAAGAATAGTCTATTTTGTAGGCAGGAGATCCTAGATTCTACCATGAGCAAGTTGAACTTTGAAATCTTAGCTCAGTGTGGAATTTTTTTCCTAAGGTCATAGGTGACAACAGTCTTTCTTTCTTACACTGCGACCTAAAAGATCAACTGTGGAACTGACCTTTTTTTTCCATACTGAAGGAAATGCAGATTAAAGGCAGTTGAGCACTTTCCGCAGTTCTTTGCTGATTTTCCTAGGTGTTAGGGTTGCCATTTCCATGCTTTGCACATGTTCCAATGTCTTTGCTGTTCCATGACACAGTCAGTAGGGTTTTTTTTTTTTTCTTCCAGCAGAGGAACCCTCGGGGTGCCGGTGTTTTTAAAAACAAGTCCATTTGTAAGTATGTCAGGTTTAAATTGGACCGTTGGATTCGAAACCTGGACATTTACCTTAAAGTGATGAGTGTCATCACCTAAACCGTTGCGGCTACCAATGCCCGCTCTGCCTGTTTGTTTTTATTTTTTTCTTCTTTCTTTTATGGGTAGTAAATTAAATAAGTAGGCCGGTTACAAAAGCTTATTATTTTCCTTAATTTTTGCCTGCTTAGAGAATTTTTTTTTCCTTGATTGAGATGTCAAGGAATTTCTTTGCTTTTCACCTGCTAAATTCATCCATTTCTTTCTTTCCTCATTTGTCCAATTCTGTTTTTAGCATAGGTGTGCTGATTTGCAGTTCTGGTCCAAAGGTTGTGAGGACTACATTTGCTTTTACTATTTTGTCAGCTTGTCCTT